TATATATATATAATATTGGATTTAAAATATTTCAGGAATATATAATTTTTTCTGCCAATGCGAGTTCATTCATGTAACTAATAAAATTTGTTTTCGACTTATATTCATTTGTAGAAGCACTGTAAAATAATGACAAACTCTAATTTTACTTCAAATGTTTAACAACAATCCCTGACAAAACTAAGTATTGAATCTGAGAAATGATACAGAAATACATATTCAACAAGTACGTGGATAATAATAGAATGCTTAAATATAGTTGCATGTGTATATGTGCGTGCGTGTGTGTGTGTGTGTGTGTGTGTGTGTGTAACTAGGCTGGAGCGAATGTTTTATAGGTACAATATACCTACAATCTTTACGATTTTTTCGAGAGATTAATTAACGCGGGCATTAATTTTTTTTTACTTGTTACAATGTTAAAAATTCAACTTAGTGCACTAAGTGCCTCGTGAAGCGCCTGTTGTTGATCTGTTGTCAACTGCATTATAGTTGCCTGGAATATCGTGTCGTTGTTCTGAAAATATAAAATCATGTTTACTTATTATCCGAGAATTCTAACGATAAATATAAACAAATTTTACTACTACACTTACTTGTATTTCTCTAACAATACTAAGAATTCTAGACATAACAGGATGGTCGGTAGGCACAGCTTCTCTGAACAATGCTTCAGCAAAGAAACTTATAAGTCGAGGCAAATGCGCATTATTCGTTCCTAAAACTACTACATGATTTGCTTCAATCAAATCACACAGATATCCATATACATGAGGTGCTTCATCTTCATCTTCGACGACTGGCAGCCAAGTTAGCCTATATAGATAGAAGCGCTTCAAATAAAATTCTTGTTTGCAACTTATCAAATAACAAATAACGATTTTTTTAATATCAAAGTTTACCAGTGTGGAAGAATTTCATCGACGTTGATTGCTTTGTTATTATATTTGAGAATTTTAGTCACTGCTGAAATAGCATTTTCAGTAGGATTTACATTTTCTGGCGATCTAGATTCAGGATCATTAATAACTTCCATCAGTTTTGGTAAAGCTTCTGCACATGCTTGCGCAAAGCCTTCTCCACCGAATTGACCTAAAACTCCGCAACCATAAGCTGCTGCTTGTCTAACTTCTGCAGATTTATCAGAAACATATTGAATCATGGGTCGTAAAAAGAATTCTTGATATTTTGCACACTCAGGTCCTCCGAATTCTATAATATCGTCAAAGACGCATAAAGCCCACTGATGATCCGACCACGATCTTTCAGGACTCAATAATTTTACGAAATGTCCGCATATTTGATCAAAGTATGGGAAGAAAGAAGACTTGTAAGTTGTAAATAAGGCATGTAAAATGTCAGCAATTTTACTGAGTGTGTATACGTCCTCATTGTCTTCATCAGCAAGTTGTTCTTCAACAACCTAAATTTAAATTAAATATAAAAAGAGCGTCAGTAGAAGAAATATTTATAAAATTTCCATGAAACTGTATAAATAATTAATTTTCATAATACCTCATCATAATCTTCATCTTTTCGTTTCTCCAATCTAGCAACTGCTCGGTCAAAATGTTCAGTGAGTAACTTATCTAAAAGTCGTAAAAGTTCAGTCATATGCGGTGCACTTAAGCAACCTACGCCCAATGTTTCGATACATTTTGCTAAAGAGGATAATAATTCCAACAACACTTCAGATTCTGGCTCTGTATCGATAGCTTTCAATAAATCTGGGCAAATATATGCCCACATGCCTTCTAGATACTGTGGACCTATAAACATTAATACTTATATTAATATAAGAGTTTTGTTATTGAAAAGTTACACGGTTTTTTAAATAAAAATATTATCTAACCTTTTATTTTAGCACAGTCAAGAAGATATGGCAAACTTGCTGCAGCTGCAGTTCTAACACCATCGTGGAAGTAAAACTTCAACATCGGTACCATTAATCGTACAACTTCTTCTGCATAATCCGCAAAACCTTCCTTTAATTCTCGTGCATAACAAACCAACATTTCGCATGCAGAAGCCTTATCCTCCAAACCAGCTGTTTTGATTCCAAAGTTTTGTTGCTCTCCTAGTGAAACAAATTGCCAATCGAGATCACCCTCGATACCTTCCATGTCTTCATTGTCCAGTAATGCAACTTCAGGCTTCATAGCGGCTGTTCGTAATACAGGACCCATTACTAATGGTAAGTATTGTTCAAATTGCTTCCCTATAAAAAAAAAAGATATATTTTTTACAAAATCGCGTGATCACAAAAAGTTTCTGTAATATGATAAAACTTGACAGAAGCATCGAGACTTCATTATCAATATCTCACCAAGAATTTTACAAATCCTGGCCCAAGCAGATATAAGATAGCTGGTTTGTGGATCGTCATCAGGAAGATCACCTTCTGAATGTGTTTTGAGTAACATATCCATAACTTCACTAGCATCAGCAATAAACTGTTAACATTAAACAACTTGTAATTAATGTAATTAATGACAAGATTTTTGTTCAGCACATATTAAACAAGGATAAGTGTTCACCTTTTCTGGGCCAACAGCTAAGCCTACAAGACTGACACATTCGATCGTCTTGCCTCGTAATATTTTGTGTTCCTGTAGAGTCGCATTTTGAATGATAAATTTCAAACAAGGCATTAGCCTGTCGTAATAAGTTACAAATTGTTCCTCACATGTATCCGCAACAGAGGCAATTGTTGTAACAACCTATAAAAATACAATAAAAAATTTAGGTTTACATTAAATTGTAACTATTCTTAAAAATTTATATTTTATGTAACTACTAGGAGTATTTATATTTTATACATGGAATTGTAATAAATGTCACGTAGAATTATATAGAAGCGGCTTATAATTTACAGGTTTTAAGGTTTGATTTTTCATCTATATAAAAATTTTAAATTTATTTAATAAAAAAAAAGCTGAAATCTTTAGAACAGATCAAGATATATCCGGAAGCCAATGTAGATGGATTTATTATAATTCAACTTACCTGTTCAAGTACAAGTTTAGTTCCCTTTTCAACTAATTCATGGAATTTAGCAGTCAGTATTGATTCAAGTTTAGCCATTATAGCATCGAGATATGGTGTTAGAATATTTTTCGGGCAATCTTCGCTGAAGTTTACAAGAGCTGCGCCAGCATGAGCTTGAACTCTAGGATTCGCATTATCGTCTAACACCATTAATAATCCAGGGATAACTTTATCATGAAATTTCTTTTCAAATATGGGCGAAAAATCTGTAGACATTTGACCTACTGCGTTGCAAGCAGCATATCTTACACGAGGATGCTAAAAAAGTCCAAAATTACTTAATGTATTCATGAATTTTACATTTATATTAATTTACATATAAATGATATATGTTCCAAAACTAAGATTACTATTACTACTAATAGTAATCAACCCTCAGGAACCGCAAGGAACAAATTTTGATTACTAAAACAGTAATACAGTAAAAATTTGTTTCCTATGTTTAATTTGCCACAATTGTAACGCTGTCATATCCACATTGATGTGACTGTCGGATTAACTTGTGGCTTAGTAAGTTATATATGTATAATTTGACATAAAAAATAATTTTAAACTACTGATGACAAATAAAATTAAAATTTATAAAATAAATTTGTTATTGTCTTACTTACCGGGTCTTGTAGATATTGTATCACACCATCCATTATTTGTGGTAAAAGAGCTTCCATTTGCTTGTGGCATCCTTCACCAACAGCTGAAATAGCCATAAGTGCTGCGTGCCTAATAATAATAATAAAAAATGTGTTTATATATAGACAAATATAGATGAGAAAGTAGAAAAATACAAAACTTGATTATTTAACAAATGAAAAAGCTGTATGTTTTTATAATTATAGCAGTCATACTATACAACTGCCAATTTTTATCTTAAACATCGCAAAGAGAATCTCAGATCAACTGCCAGAACGGCAGAGAAAAAGAGGATTGTCTCATTGGTTATTCTATCACAGACGTAACGCAATTATATAAAAGTATATAACTGCTGACTTTTCTGTGAATGTGTTATTATTCGATTATACATAATATATTAAATATTAGATTTCAATACGACCGTAACTATATAACTAAATATATAAGATACAGATGTTATATGTTTACCTATACTTCCAATCACTGTTATTTAACATTGTAGGGATATTTTGCACGATTTGTGGTAGCATAGTTTTTCCTCCTAACCCACACGCCAATCTATCTAAAGCACTTTCTGCAACCACATTGTTGCTATCATTATCTTCTTCAATTATTTCATCAGAGAAACTCCATTTCTCATCTTCTTCCAAGTCAGTCATCATCTTCAGTACCAATGGCACTAAAGATACTATGTATTTTTCACCACCTTTCCGTACCATAGCTGGTGCAGTTTCCGCTAGAGTTACCAAAACTTCTAGTGCCAATTGTCTCCAAGAGTCAGGCATTTCTTCATTAGAGAATACATTCATGCACAATTGCATAACATTATCTAATTGCCCCCTGAGGAATTTTGGTGTGGTTTCAGCAATATCTATCAACACTTTTATAAGAGCATCATCATCTTGCTTTTCTATAGATTGAGCGGTTACTTGTACAAGCGCTGGAACTAATTCTGAAAAATGTTTGTGTATGTTTTCCTCTTTGTCATGTAATGTTATAAACGCTCCAATTGCTCGTACTGCTTGAAATCTGACCTGTGTGGTAAGAACAATTGCAACGATTATAATTACTCGCATAATAAAAAAATTTCATAATTAAACAAATTTTTGTTTTTAGAATATAATTGTTCTACAAAATGTATGCCCCGTATCTGTCTGTAAAATAGTACTTCACAAGTTACAGTCATCAGAAGGCACTTTTTTTTTTTGGAAGAATTATGTGACGAGTAATCTTGTCTTGTCGACTCTCATGTATCCATCTCCCGTTAAACTAAATAAAAATATAAGTAAATTTCACATTACCTCATAATTTGTCATATCTAACACAGATTGTTGTAACATTTGTTTTATAAGATCAAGATGATTTGCTTGTTGATTTCCAAATACGCCTGGGACGGATCTGCATGCACATTTAATTTCTTTTACTTTTTTTCTTATTAAATATATTCATATAAGATAGAGTTCAAGAAAACTCACGTGAACATACGAAGAGCGCTTTCTTTTAATGCCGGTAATGGACTATTCGCGCACTGAAATAGGAACTGAAGAAACTCTGGCCATTGATTATTGCCATCTTCATCTATTAAATTCCTGGCAACTTCAGCTGCAACGTCACAGACCTTACGTCGAATATTTTCAGTTTGTTCATTTTGAACCGATAATAAAATTTGTTCCTTCAACTGGGCTTGCGCCTCTGGTGGAATCTGTATAATAATTACATATCAAATTTATTTTTAATTGATCTTTGACTCAAACATAGATAATCATTAATTTCTTGATAAGAGGTTCTTAAGAAATAACTTAAGAAATAAGAATTAAAAAAGAGCATATTTTAGCAAAAATTTTATATAGCTAAAGATTAGGAAAAAAAGTTTTAGACTACCTTAGGATAAAAATCCATAAATTCTGAAGAGAATAATCGACGTAACAATACTGCAGCAATAGTTCGCATTTCTTCTGCAAGTGTACCATTGCAAATAGTAGTTAAGAGAAATGTCACCTTGCTTTCCACTGGAAGATTACCATACGCCTCCTAAATAATTCCAGAATTCAAAAATATGTAATTTAAAATTTTTGTTATAATGCTTCTAATGATAAGAATATATGTAGTAATAAATATTTTCCAATCAAAAAATATAAAATCTCTTAGGTCTGGTTTCATAAATATAAAATTAATCTCAATTTAATTTACTGTTTATCTTTTTTTCAATTTTTAGAATTACGAAAAGATAAAGAGTAAATTAAACTGAGATTAAAATTAATCTCATGTCGATAAAACCAGATCTTAAAAATTTATGTTATAAACATAAATTTTTCACTCGAAATTTATATTTGTCTAATAAGCATTTATTTCGTCTTCAAAAAGAATTAAATCATTATATAAGAAAAATTAATTTTATGATAATGTCAAAGAAATGCCATTTAACCCTGCCATTAGTGCTAAAATGTTATGGACAATTTTAAAAAGCTAATAGTTTTTATGGAATGATAGTTTTACAATATAATTTGATAAAATAAATAATTAAATATATACAAAGCACTTTTATTTATTATATTATAATATAAAGAAAGTATTTAACAAGAAATAGATGTTTAAAATCTTTCAGCTTATTATGACAATCTCCACGCTTGGGTTAATATAAGAAATTCTTTTCCAAATTAGAATACAAAGATGCAGCATTATAAAGCAAATGTCTTTGTCTTGTTACTATACATTATAGTATAATGATTATACGTTATATATGAAGAACATATATACAATGAATATATCTATAGATACCTAAATTTCACAGCTGCCAAAATCAAAGTACTCTCTCCCGAACTAAATTTGCTAAGCTAAATCTGACTCATTTCGTGGGGAATACATATTGTAATCAGTGCACGTATGAATATTCGACGAATAACGACACGTGATCGTGTGGTGAGTCAAGGTAAGACATATATAGAACTCGCCGAACGGTATTAAAATCGTGCGAGTAATCAGATCAGATACTTGCAATCGCACGCGGAGTCGGGTGGGTCGTAAGGTGGATAAGAACGACGCACGCGAAACATGCTACGGCATTCGCCGGAAATCGCGTGTAGGCGGGAAAACGGGATGCATCTCGTAAAACATGCGTGCCTCCACGTCGCGGGGGGGACGGACGGACGTGATGAAACGTCGTCCACGTCGCGACGCGAGCCCCGCCTTCGTAGCCGAGCTCGGAGCCGGACGATGAGCTTTGTGAGAAAAGGAGAGAAACGTCGGACTCCTGTCGTCCGCACACGCGGAGCTGACGGATGGCACGCGGGGCGCGCGCCGCGCGTTACCCGCATGCGAGACACCATTTTGGATTTCTTCACCGATCGCGTGAATGCGTCAAAATTCGTCCGGACATGATGGACCCTCTTCGTCGGCGTGTCGCGATCGATCGCTACGACGACGTCGAGGGTGCGAGCTGCGTCGCGCGTTCAACGCCGGTTGTAGCATCCGCGTGCGAGATCTGACAACACGTCGGCAACGTGCTCGGCAGGAACAGGCCACGCCGCGGACACTCGCGCCGACCGGCATGCGTTCGACGTAGATCGAGCGCGACCGCGAAAATTCACTGGGAGTTTAAACATACCTCCGCCTGCGTCCGGACATCGTTATCTGTGCTGAGGAGTGTATTCAGAAGCTGTTGAAACTGTTCGAGATCTGCCGCCATTGTTACTGACCGACTGAAGCCAAGCGCACACTTGTCCGAGTCTATCGTCATTTGACGTGTACCAACGTTGCACAACGAAATGTTACTATCTGCCCGTGACGTTGCCAACGTTAGGTTTGTTCGCGTTATGTGCACTTTTTGTACTCAGCATCTTCATTTTCTCTCTTTTCAATACCAGGGCTACGTTCTAAAATTTCATCTTCGAGGAAGATTTTACTCTACATGCTGTAGTGTACGTTACGTGTTCTATATATTTCGAGTAAAATTATACAATATATATATTCATCTCGTTTTAAGTGCAAAAACTTTTTGGGATTTCAAGCAGTGCGAATATATTCGATCTGTTCACATTGCTTGCACTTTTTGCATTTAGCATTTTTGTTCTCTCTCTTTTCAATGCCTAAATATATATTTATCCCTTTTTAACTGTAAAGTGTTTTTTGGGGATTTCAAGCAACACGAACAAACCTATTATCGGCTGCTTGGAAATGAGATCTATTGAATTCGATTGGTTCGTGACGTAAAGGTACCCTTCTATTGATGCTTAACTTTGGGTATATTCTAAATTATTATAACACAAAGCGCTTGATGCATCTTTTGTCCTTATTGTTCACTGAAGAATAAAGAACCCAATCAGAAATGATAATAGAATCGACATCAATGTCGATTCGATGTCGATTTCATTATCATTTCTGACTGGGAAGGATAAAATGATACCTCGTGCGCTTCATGCGTAATTCAGAACGCATCCTTTAACGTCAAGCAGGTCACGTGATAAAAATTTACGAATAGCAAGCGTCAATGTGATAACCTTAAGGTCTGTGTGTTATAATCTGTAAGAATTGACCAATCAGAGTCGTATATTCCTTTCCCATTCGATTGTGGCTATGATCAAAGGTATTCATAGTCGGCTCTTATATTTAAGATCGTCTTAAGTACAATTTTAAGATGTCATGAATCAATCAGAGGACCACATTAGCAACTTAAGACATTACTTAAGACAGTCTTAAAATAAGAACCGACAATGAATACCGGCCAAAGTCTGGCGACAAATGCTTTAAAGCGTTTGATTGACCAATCAGAAAAAAGAATTTTATAAATTGATTAATCAAGACATGCTTTAAACTATTTGTAGCATCGCGTTGACGATACCCTAAAAGAGAAGCGTATTTGGAAGAAGTCATTCTAAAAATAATTATTACAGAGAGTAATATCTAATAATTATTACAGAGAGTAATATCTAATAATTTGATAACTCTTTTGAATTATTTTTTCGGAAGAATCTAGTAAATTGAAAATTTACGACAGCAATTATGTAATTTTTCCTTAAAAACGAAATAAAACATGTAAAGCTTTCATGGATTCGATATTTCGGTCTGGAGGACCAATTATATAATTTAATTTTTCTCTAACGTGGAAACGTGAAAATTTTTGTGTATGTACGTATGTCTACATATACACATGCATATAAAAAATTTTTACTTTTCAAGTTTTCGCCCTAGAGAAAAAGTTATGTAATTGATTTCTTGTTCACGATAGGCACGAATTTTTAAATATAATAACTTAATAACTTTTAAAATTTTACTTTTAGATTTAATAACTTTTAAAATTAATTATACTTTGAATTTAGTAAATTTTGAATTTCCTCTAGAATCTAGTAACTTTAAACACTTTAATAATAATTTATTACTTATAAATTTAAATATGACAATTAAAATAGATCTAAACAAATAGATCTTATATAGTCAAAATAGATTTTAAAAGAAATAAAATATTAAAATAGATCTAATTACAGATATATATTAAATAAGATTCACTTATTATTTTTTGATTATAAATGTATATGTATAGTCTAATAAAAAGCTACATCAGATAATAGATGAATTAAAAACAAATGTTATGTCAATCATAAATTTATAGTTATGTCTGTAAAGCAGACTCAACTAGCGATATGACAAATTTTTTTATTATTATGTCAGTAATTGAAGTATAATCAATAGTTTTGTTTGTAAAATAGCGATTACTCTTAGTCTCCATTTACCAGGTACATTTGTCGATGTCATGATGGGAATAACAGTAGGAAAAAGGTGGGGAAAAAAACGAGCTTGCGCCAGCGTTCCGTGATTACTGTGATTTCCCGCAATTAAAGTCTGTTTAGTCATGGACCAGTACGTGGATTGCATTCGCGAAATGCATCTGACTGTGCAACTCGACGCATTGCGTTTTATTTGCAATGGTCTGCACTCATTGTTTGTCTCTGGGTAAAAACACGAACATATAAACACAGAAGATAACGCCAATTCAGGAATATAAATTCGAAATTTATATTCTAATTTTATAATAAACTTTAAAAAATCTTTCTCGAAGATTTGTGGACTTGTACTAATTGTAATTAATTTTATATAAAAATAAATGACGATGTGTATATCATTTATAAATAAATTTTATCAATTATAATATTTATACGGCGCTCTTTATGCCGAAATTAAAACATCGATGTTATGAAACTGACCAATCACAGTCATTTCATTCTTCAGAGAAATAGCTATGATTGGCCAGTTTCATAATATCGATGTTACAACTTTGGCATAAAGCATGCCGTATAAAGCCGGTTCTACATTAGTTGCAAGCTGATCGCAAGTTTGTTGTGACAGCCAATATGAAGCGTTAATTCCAAAATGCAAGCTTTAGATTGGCTGTCGCAACAAACTTGCGATCAGCTTACAACTAATGTAGAATCGGCTTTATAGAAGTCAGTGACAAATAAGGTCATGATATCCTGATGATATTATAATGATTTCTGTATTCTATTTGTGGGAGATACAGATACCTGAACATTATCATACGATTATCCAAATATTCATAATACTATAATAGAAATATTTATAGCATATTTATAAAAGATGTTATATAAAATAACTAACTATTTTTTTTAATATACAACATATTAATATACATATTGCACATATATCACATACAATTATTCTATTATGTATCTGACTTTATATAAAAGTAAATACCATAAAATTATGATGATGGAAATAACATCATTTGTCATTTATAAGTGAACTTATAAATGACAAATAATGCTGACGTCCTGATGACATTATTATGACTTTAGTGTTCTGAATATTATCGCACAATTATCCATCAAATATTCGTAGCACATCTATAGAAAACTCTATGAAATATGCAACATTTTTTCTTCGAACTGAATAGTATTCTATTCGTGGTATTAAAAGGTTGATATTTGCAGATCACTGAAGTACATAATATATATTATAATTATTAACGTTGCATCTATTCTTTGCAATTCCTTTTTATTTCATTTGTATAGTTGTATTAATATATTAATATTTAATATATTAAATACTAGACGAGATGTTAAAATTAAATTCGTTATATTATATATGACAATAAGGATATATGATTTAATCTCATTAATAGCGCGAAAGAGATGATTCTTTCGCGCTATTAATTCGAGATTGCTCATATAATGTGCGATTATACGCGTACGACATAATGCACGTTCGGACATTTAATCTGCGGAAATGTAGAGTCACAGACAAAAATTCACATCAATGTGTATCTCACGTGCGGAGTCGCAAAACAAAGGGGCATCCCGCTGTAACATCTGTCGTTACGACAATTCAATGTTTTTCGCGTGTGACGTCCGCTGTTACACGCGATCAGTTGATTTATCACGAAAGATATTACAAAATATACATCCGAACGCGTTTTCATATATCGAGTACCGTAGACGCTTTCATCTCGCGTATATCCCGCGTACGTATTGCAATAAAAAATTACGCGTAAAGCATAATTGACCATCAAGCTATTATGTATGCGTGGTTACTGTACTTTTTATAATAAAATGAAATTTTTGCGGAGACGAAAAACAAATTTTTTTTAAATAAACCGATATTGGTTGCAATCTAAACGAGATAATATTTGACGTTGTCCTGTCGCTAAATACTATTATTTTATTTTGCAGTGTGTCACGTAGAAACTTTGGCTTCAGTAAAATTGCAATATTTACTCGCAGAGATCTCATCGAAATATAATTGTATGAATTGTGTCTGTTTAATGGAGTAAGAGTAAAAGTCAAAGACCGTGATATATAAGAAGAAGAATATAATTGTAGGGATGCCAGAGGACTATCCACTCATTTGCAATGTGCCACGTCGCACTCTGGCAGTCTAGGGGAATGATAGATGAGCATCAACTATGCCGCGCAAAGCGAGCTTTACGTTTTTGCTGAAATAATCTCAGACAAGGATTTTCGACGTGATGCCGTGGTCGTAGAATATGCGATAATGGCCCGACATGCGCGCGCGATTAATACATTATTACGCGCTCCACCGACACCGCTTTATCCTTATCGCCGTCACGCCGCTGTTGTCATTGTCCTGTTTGGCTTTAACTACTCGTTGCTCTAAAAGCTGAAGATGAAGTAGCAGCACGCTTTCAGGAGGTTTTGTCAGTCGCTCTTAAAACGATTCCTGGGCGCTCGCTGGGAGAACACGAATTACCTTTATAAGTTTTAAAAGAAACTGCCGGTTACATAAAATCTTTGACAAAAAAAAAAAACTAAATGATGTATAAAATCTATTGAAAGTACGATGAATTTATAAGGTGACACAATTATATTTATCTTTCGATCTTACAATCTATTTTTTGCTACATAAGTACTTTAAAGATATATTACATAGATGTACAAGTCTCTTTGCAAAAAGTGACTGGAATTGGAAATTTATTCTTTTCTATAGGTATGCTATGAGTAAAAATAAATGTTAATATATAATACATAAAACAGTTCAATAAAGTCAATATTTATATTTAACAATATAACTTTATAGTTATAATGAAAATTTTCTCATTTGATCTTAATTATTTGTTGAAAATATATCAACTTTTTAATAAAATAATAATGTTTGATTTTAAATTACCTCCAAACCTTTTGTATTATACTCTCAAATACAATACATACAATACAGAAAAATCTTTAATGTTTTCATAATTTTTTTCAATTTGTTAAAAAATATGTGTAATACAATTTAATTATTTTTCTCTGTAATTAAACAAAAATGAAAATAATTTCACGTAAATTAGCTGTATAATAAAGCAAATAAAATACGAAGTACAATAAAACAAATAAAAACAATAAAATTTCATAAATTATATGTACAAAATTTTGTATAATCTCAGTATTTTTGTCCCTCTATATGTTGTAAATTCTCTTCGACGGATTGTAATCCAGGATTCTTGGGAGAGATGCGATCGAATCGATTCCGCCTATTAGTTATCCGCAGATTTTTTTCCGTGAAAATATATTTCTTTAAGTAATCACTTAATTCATTCTCAAAATTATTTTTTAATTTTTTATCCGACACTTCCGATATTTGTGTGATGCACTTATTCATTCCTTTCGACGCATCCTGCGAACAATTCTCTAATTCTGAATTTATCTCCTCCAATTTTTCATTAACGCCTCGCAGGTCGTTCACTTTAAGCCTAAGATCGAAATTCGACTTCCTCGAAGCGGCGAGTTCATCCTTTAAAGCCACTCTCTCTGATTTCAATGCGTTTAATTCCTCCTTAAATATCTCGAACTGCGACTTCAACGTCGCTTTCTCGTCCCGTAGATACATCAGTTCGAGTTTCAAAGCCTGAATCTCGTCCGTCGCTCTAGCGAACTTGCCGTCGTCCATCAAGCAGGAGTTGCGACTACTACACGAAATACCTGCTTTCATCTTCAGCGCTCTATTCTCGATTTCGAACTGATTGATATCGAACATCACGGTTCTTTCGCAATCTTTGTACATATCCGGATCATTGGAATAATTAGAATAATTGCTTATTTCTTTCTCGTGCCAGATACTCGCGAGCTTAAATTTCTTCACGATGGAACCACCAATTTCATCGTCTGAAACTTTTATCCATGGCACTACATTTTCGGATTTACCTTCCGCAAGTTTCAACGGAACTTCGGAATTTTTAGACTTCAAATTCGTCTGCTCTAATTTCAAAGAATTATTTTCGCTTTTCGATCTCTCTAACTCACTCTTTGGCTCGTCTTTGATCACCGCTTTGTTATCGTGACCAACGCGTGTATCAGATTCTACTTTGACTTCTGTTCCACCGTCCCTCCGTTCGCCAATTTCGACCTTTATACTCGTACGCGCGGTATCCGAGCAATTTTGCTTCTGTTTAATCTCGTTATAAGTATCAGCGAATTCCCGCTCGCAATCCATCACAAATGGATGCTGCATATCGATCTTCTTTAAATAATTTTTACGATCGTTATTTTCGTCGTGCAAAGTAGCCGCAGTAAGTCGCAACGCCTCATACTTCATTCGCTGGATCTTCAGTTGATTACCGAGTGCTCTGCACTCGTTAGTGATTTCATTTATTCTTCCTTTCGCGTCGTCTCTCTCCTTCCTTAGCTCGACATTGTCCTTTTCTCTCGCGTCGTAGGTAACCTGCAGAAGGGCATTTTCCGCTTTCGCTTTGTCATTTTCGACCCTTGATTTATTCAATTCCATGGAAAAATATTCATTCTTCTCACTCGCCTTATTCAACTGCTCTCGCAGAGCGACGTTCTCATCATTGAGCTCGTTAATACGCGTCGCGAACTCGTTTTTTTCTGTCAACAACACCCGTACACGATCTTCGGTCTCGGTATTCCGTAGAGACAGCGTATCCAAATCGCCGATGGCCTTCGAGTTATCCGATTGCAAGCGCGCCGTATTAACAACCGCATCTTCGAGTTCCGCCCGCGCTCTCTCCAGTTCAAACTTTAAATTCTCCGCAGTAGCTTCGTGCTCGCTTATCTTCTCCCGAAGGCCGTTACGATCGGACTTAAATTTGTTAACTTGATCCTGCAGCACAGCGCACTTGTTATTGGCATCGGACATCGACCTATCCAGCAATTCTTTCTCAGACCTCAACTTCGACAACTCCTCTTCGAGTTGTTCTTTCTCGTTCTGAAGCTGTTTGACTTTATTCTTCGACGCTTTGTACTCCGCTATCACTCCGTCGAATTCTCCCAATGTTTCCTCGCCATTTATCGGGACGTTCAATCGATACGTCAACGACTGCTTGTTAGGTTCCAAATAAGAAATTTTATCCTTCGGCCCGACCTTGTCGTCGATATCTTCATCCGGCACGCACTTCAAATAATCGTTTCGCTTGTCCGTCTTGTCCAGACTTATTTTAGGCTCATTTGACTCAGCTTTCAAGTACTTCAATTCATCCCTGAGGTTTTGTGCACGGTCTTCGCCATTGTCTCGTTCCTCCCCGCCACTTTCCATCTCCGAACTTTTCAATTTGCCCAGTCGCTCGCGTTCCTCCTGTTTCCCAAGTCCCTCAATTATACTTCTCAGTTTTACATTTTCATCGGAAGCGATCCCAAGTTTCGTCTTCAGGTCCTCTGTCTCCGCCCTAAGGACTGCTTTCAGCACGTCCTTCTGGGTAATAATATTCTCAATTTCCTCGTCTTTCTCCTTGAGAACGTTACGCATCCTTTCCGTTTCCCTTAATGACATCTCTTTATCATCATGAAGGTTCTGCAATTCTTTCCTCGCTGCATCAATTTCAACCTTCATCAGTTGCATTTCCCCGACACGTCGCTGATCGTGTTTAAGCGACAGCTCCAATATTTCTTGTTTCCCCCTTTCTACATCTCCTCGGAGAGTCTCGTTCACCTCGCGTATGTCAGCGATAATCTTCTCGTACCTCTCACGATCTCTCTCTGACGTTAATCCGATGCTTGCATGCTCGTCATTCAGTGCATTTATACGTTCGTTCTTTTCCAATAATTCCGATTTTAAATACATGAGCATAGCTTCAAGCTGTTCGATTCTGTCACGTAAATTCGCGCGGTCATCGAAAATTTCGAGTTCCTTTATTTTACTGCATAATTGTTCGATCAAGTCTTCTAGTACCTCCGTTATTTTCTCATTGGTATTTATTACTTCCGGCGGAGCTTGTTTTAAAATAGCGACTACTGTAATTGATTTTCTAACAATATCTTCGAGTTCCGTGACTTTGGTCATATATTGGGAGCTGCTGATGCCACCGATTTTACAATATTTGTTCATCGGTTTTATTTTCAATTTTTCAATCTCATTGTCGATTTCCTGTAGAAAATCATTCAATGACGAAGCTGTTTCTAAGCATTTCTCGTACTGGAGATTCTCGCATAACCGTTTGTCTATCGGCACGTTCGATCGTCTAAGCTCCACGGACAGCACTTTCAGATTTACTTTTAGATTAACTACTTTCTTCATGTATTTCAAACAATCGGGATCGCCGGCGGCGATCATCGCCTCGCGATCGCTCTTTAAATTGTTCCTCAAGTCGTTCATCAAACGTTCGACGTGTCTAACAACGTCTGGGATATCCGTGGCGTCCGAACTTCCGTTATAGTTCGCATTCTCACGAATAACTTTCAGCCGGCCCATTTCCGATATTCCGCGGTATTACCACATCTCGATCGCAGCATGGCTCTTGATCTGTCCAGCTTGAGACGCAGGTTTCTATTTCTGGTCTTAAACCTATACAAATTCTCGCTAACATTCACGAGCTCCTCTGACAAACCGATAATCATCTCAACGGTCTTGCCGATCGTATTAGCGAAGATTATTTCTATCGTTCGATCACCTTTCGCGAATTCATTCAGCTCATCCCTGAGTTGTTTTAGCATGACACTCGTTTCGCTCTCCTCAGCCTCTTTCAATCGCTCCTTCAGACACAAAATTTCGTCGTTCATGCGTTCTCTTTCACTTAAGAATTCATTCTCAAGTGTGGCGATCTTATCACCTATTTCAGAGACAGTGATACGCGCGGTATCCTCTTCGGCTTTCGTTAAAGCGCATTTTAGACTCGTTACTTCATTCTCTAAAGCGTCGTTTGTCTGCTCCAACCGGCTAATCTCCGCCCTCTGATGCACGATCAAAGGGTCGATTTGCTGGTTATCGTTCCCATTCTTGTCATCCACACGCAAAGCCATTTTCATCCGCCAGATATTACTCTTCAGTTTCGCGCTATCGTCCCGCCAATCTTTCATCTGCAGCATCACGTTATGCAGCTTGTGCAATGTCGCAACAGCCATTCTGGCGATTCTCGTCTTCTCTTCCACGGCGACGTCAATCGCGACTACTGACAGGTAATCGTCGAGATATTTGTCACTCATCGCTGTTTTTTCAATTTATCAGAATTATGTAATATGTGACAAAAATGCATTAAGTATAACAAACTTCGCTAAACATCAATATCAGCTATTAAAAATTTATGTAACAAATATTATGTATATATTTATTGTTTATATATCAAATTTATGATTTTTACCTTTATACAGATTTTCATTTAAGTTATCATTAATTTTTGAAAATATCCGTCGAGGTTAGCGTTTATAAATCACTTATAAATAATCAATTAATTTGTATCATTTTATTAATTACAATGAAATATCAATATTTTGTATTAAAACATGCACGTCATGGTAACAACATTAATAACTTGCAGAATTTATGATTGTCTGTAAATGTTTTATCAACTTGAAAATTTTTATATATCGAAATGACATTAACGAGCAAACGCTTTGATAATTTATGTGCTTTAGAATGTAAAAAGTCGACTTTATATATGCGATAAGGAAACAGGAGCACAGATATCTTCATGTTCTAGAATTCGTACATGTACGTGATACATCTATCTATTGTACGTTTTGTCAGAGCTAAGAGCCCGTTTGTTGTTACACCAATTCGATTAACGAAACGGTGATTTTGCACGAGTAATGCGGCGGACGGCGAGCAAAAAGGGGGCGGAAAGTTTCGTGGAGTTCCGTTAACCCCGCACTACACCCGTGTTTTCCTCCTTCCTTTGCAATTACCGCGCAGATTTAATTGATGACGGGCCCTCTCGATAAGTTCTCGAACAGAACCGAACTGTAGTCCAAGTGCTCTCGAAACTCTCGAAACTTAAGAAGCGTTCAGTATCGCTGCACCAACCCCTCAATATCGGAACACCTAATAAGACTGCTCTAACGAGGACTTTCGTCGGCCATACTGCGCACAATTTAATTATAGCGACCGCTTAATTATGTGGGTCGTACGTAATCGGTACTTCCGGTTTCCCGGTGCGCACGAACTTTACGACACGGAGAATTCGGTGAATAATGCACGTATGCTTTAGCATCTCTATTCAAAATGGTCATATATTATCGACATAGGAAGTATATATATATATCAATGCTTGAAATATGATTGAAATTCTTGATATAAATTTGATGACACGCGAGACCATTCATTAGATATATTATCTTCTTATATTCATCACGAAAAAGTTTACCTATATTACATACATTTTGAAAATTAAATTATCCAAAGTTTAATTCGGTCATGATGGAAGAAAATTTACATCATAAAGTCTTGTTAACTTATCATGAATCGATATTATTAAATCGAATTATATCGATCTCACCTGTCGATGTCACCGAGTCGTGTGTCGAACTCGCTGGGAATAATATCAAAAATATGACTGACGAGTTTCACGAGTTTCCGCGCAACCTCATATCTCCATGCATAAAAAGATTTTATCTTGGCGGAGTTTTTTTTACGGAACAATGATAGCGCACTCTACTACCGCGGGTTATCTATGAGTTGACCCGGGTCATAAATAACTTGTTTTCTATCCCGATAATGTTAGAGGTATATATAGTACAAAAATGGTTATCAAGTAACTTATATATTTTTTATGCGATGCGCTCCCCGAAAAAACGTCATAACGATTGTAGAGGCATTTTTAGGAATAAATTTGTGCTGTGGAACGTACGTCATGCAGAAAGGTTAAATGTGGTCCTCATAATCATATCAAGTCATGGAAGATCGATACGTACCGCCGTTTTGTTCATGCGGATGTCACGCACCGCGGCCGATAAAACCGATCGAATTACCGCCGCACGAGCCATGCTGTTGCTGCGAGTACAACCCCTTCAGCGACAATTCCAAGGAATCAGAGATCTACGATCTACCATTCGCTCTACGAAAACTGACAGTAATGAAGTGTCAGATGAAGAAGTGGCGCATGGAGCGGCTGCAGCTCGAGAGCGAAAATAGGTCTCTGAAACAAGCCCTACAATCATTCGGTATCGATGTTCCATTTCATAGTCGAATCTTTTCTCCCCCGCCTTTGCTCTTCTGCACTATATTTCTTATAGAATAAATATTCTTTTATAAATTTTATAAGAAATTACCATTTAAACTATATATACGAAGAGTAATTTTAGCGCGGTACTTCTTCCAGTACGACACTATGGAACGGTTCTGTAATAAAATCTATCCATATATTGATTCTCGATATTTCGCAAAATATCAAATAAAATTCGGTTATTAAGTTAAACGATTTTCCAATACATCATTATTTTATATGTTTCGTTTCTACATTTTTTATTATTAAGTTTTCGTAGCTTTCTATCGATGTGTACAACTCACCGCAAACGACCCATGTTTTCTTCGTCATATAAAAGAGAGTACCGAATACATTTCGGGCGGTCAAATAATTTCCCTATAGGTGTGAAGCCCGACGGGGTATTGGGTACTGATCCCTCGCTCGTGCATTACCGCGAGGAAAACGAAAGGCTGCAGAATGCAAATGAGGAACTGGCGGAAAAAGTTCGCAACCTCGAAGAGAGTCTCGCCGAACGAGATTGCTGCGACGATCCGTGCGAAAAAGTTAAATACGTGAGGGAGAAAATAGCAGCACTGAGAGATCGTTTTGCTGCCGAAAAAAAACAGTACATAATACCTATTGACTATGAAATTTCGCTAAGACAGTTTAATGAGTCTTTCTTTCTCCTTTCTACTCTTTCCTTCTGCATATTGTTTTAATAAAAGGGAAAATAATTGAGCAATAAGCGGAAGGAGAATACTAAAAAAAAGCTCCTATAAAATTAATATTACTTAAATTAATCGTTCGGGAATTGTCATAATAGTCAGAACAGACTTCTGTTTTATACTTTGCGAAGTTATATAGCTTTGAAAGAAAATTAATCACACAGTTCGTCAGTTACGATATTTCCTTGAAAACCATCTATCTTCATTAAACACGGTACGCCAATATAATTACGTGCAAACTGTTGATATCGTGACAGAATGCGAGACACGATATCGCATCTGAAGTTGAAACTGATGGAAGCCGAGGAAGATACTTCCTGTGCGGCATTAAACCGTTTGAGGGCAAAGCTTCGTGAGCTAATGAAAGATGGTCAGAAGGCTGATCAACAGGTGTCCGTGGTTGTCGAGAGATCAATGCAGACATCGGTGGATCTATCAAAGAGCTACGAAGATCTGTTACGAACAGAGCGCCTGCAAGCTGAACCGACGCAAATTCGTCGTACATTAGAGGAAGTTGTTACATTCTCAGAAGAGATTGACGTTCCTTTATCTGCGAAAGAAGAGGACATACCGGCACTGTTAAGTCAGCTTCGTAATTGCAAAATGCTCCTGGCTGAATTGAAAATGCATTTGGATGAGAAGACGGCTTACACGGAAGCTCTACAAAGCGAGCTTAATAAACTGAAAGCCTCCATCGTCATACCAATGGTAGATCTGGATGAGATGATCGTCAGATCAGCGATGGACGAGGTGGCCGAGATGAAGGAAGAACCCGAGAAACCTGATAAGGTATCTCTCTTTATTTCTTCATGTCTGTAAATGCTCGTAATTGGTTGCATGTACAGTGTGTTAAAAGTTATGAACGTTTTATATTAACATATAAACTCCTGTTTCGTTGAAGGAAATCCGAAAAATACAAGAATTGAGTAGAGTGCAAGAGGAAGATAACGAGATGAAGAGCGAGATCGATAAGTTGAACGTTGACCTGCGTCGCGAGGAAGAAAAATTTCAAGTGGCGCAAAAAGAGCTAGAGGGCATGAGAGACGATTTGCATAGTCTCGGAGCTGAGAATGAATTCTTGAAGGAGACATTGGAAAATGCAAAATTGGAGACTAACGAACTTAAAGAAGAAAATGTTGCTTTGAAAAACAATCTTGATAACATGATTAAGGAACTGGAATCTTCGAGAAGGGAAAATAATAATATTAAGACAGATCTAGATCAATTATTATCCGAGAATAAGTATTTAAGAGATGAATTAGAAAAACAAGTGGCGGAGACGGATCAATTAAAATCCGAAGGGATTGCATGGAAAGAAGGCTTCGATAAACTGTTACAAGAAATGGATAGATTAAAGGTTGAAAGCGATAAACTAAAGGACGAAAGTGCTACTGTTAAAAGCGAAAGAGACAATTTGACAACTGAAAGAGACAACTTGAAATCCGAGAATGGTCTTCTTAAAGATGACTTGTCTAAAATAAATGTAGCGTTAGACGACGCAAAGAAACAATTGAACAAATTTGAAGTCGAGAATGAAGTTCTTACGGAAGAATTGAAGAAGGCTAATGTAAATAATAACAAGCTACTCGCGGACTTCGATACTTTGCAGAGCGAAATGGCAAAGTTGAAGTCGGAGAACAGAAAATTGTTACAAGAAGTGGATGATGGGAAAGAAGAACTAACAAAATTATTATCCGAAATAGAAACTTTGAAAAAGGAGGTAGATAATATGAGTAATAAATTGACGAGTGCAAATAACGAAGTTGTAGATTTGCAGCAGAAATCAGTCGAGTTAAATAATAAATTGAAAGAGGCACAAGTTATAAATGAACAACTAAGGGCAGATATTCACCAAATAGAAGCAGAGAACAAAGATATTAATGCGCAAATGAATAATTATAGAGATGAAAACAGTAGGCTAAACATAAAACTAAATGAATCGAAGGAACAAATAAATTTATTGACGGATGAAGTAAATAAATTAAGAGAACAACTTGACAACGCCGAGAATCGGATTAAGTTTCTTGAGGCTCAGCTCGTTAGTTTACAGACTGATAAAGACAAGATGCAGAATGAGATCAACGCTTTGCAAAATGAGATCAGCAAACTGAAATTAGATCTAAGTGCAGAATCTACTGCTAAACGAGACATTCAAGAGGAATTAGTGGCATTAAAGAATGAGATGAAAAATTTGATCTTAAAGATCGATGAGATGAGGGTGCAAAATCATGCCCTAAAAGAAGAGAGAGACCTCCTCAAGAAAGAGCTGTTGAATCTAGGCGAGGAATCGTTGAGCCTAAGGGCTGCGAATGCTGAGATGATGAACCAGATTAATAATTTAAAACTGGATATATCTGATCTTCAATCGCAATTATCTAAAGCGGAAGAAGATATTGAATATTGGAAGTTGGAAAATTGCAAGCTTAAGATGAGCACAGATAAGTTATCCATCGAGAATGAAAAGAAAAAAGAAGCTTTAAACGTTTGTAAGGTAGAGATAATTAGTTACGTATTCCTCCTGTAACTTCTTGTGCCTTTGATAATAATCACATTGAAATTCATAGGTTGAACATCAAACATTAGAGAAGGAGATAACGAATCTTAGAAATGAGAAGATTAAGCTCGAGGGAGAAATAGCAGAGCTTAAAAATCTGTTAGAAGGGCTAAATCTGTCTTCATTCGCCGAAAAGTCTGCTAAAGAAGAGGCTGTGAAGGAACTGACCAAATTTAAGAATGAAGTCGTTGCTTTGAGAGAGGAACTTCAAACACTAAAATCAGAATTAACTAAATTAAGAACAGAGAACGATAAAATAAGAGATAAAGAGGAAAAGTTATCCAGTCAAGTATCAACGTTAAAGACAGAACTTGAAAACGCAAAAAATGAGATATTAGCTTTGAGAGTAGATAATGACACATTAAAATCAAAAATAAATACGTTAACAGACGAGAATAATAAACTAAAAAGCGAATCAAATATGCTGATATCTGAAGTTGATGGTTTGAAACTAGAAAACACGAATATGAGGGAAGAACGACAGAAATTTGAGAAAGAATTTGATAAACTAAAAGGCGAGGACGATGGGCAAAAGGATGAGATTAAAAATCTGAAATCTAACTTGACAGCCGAACAGAAATTATCAGAAAAAATTAGATTGGAATTATCTACTAGCCAATCGGAAAACGATAGATTAAGAGCGGAGCTGGAAAAACTGCAAAAGAATTTAGATACCCTTGAATTGGTGAATGACAAGTTGAACAGTGAAGTAGAGGATTTAAAGAAAACGTCGATCGACGCGCAGAACAAGGTGAACGCATTGCAGTATCATGTGGCTGAGTTGTTAGAAGAGAAGGAGGCACTTCTGAAGGAGTTAGATAGTTTACGAGCGGAAGTGAGTAGATTAGGTAAAGTTGTGTCGGATAAAGTTGCAAAGGAAGCTATTGAGAAAAAGACGATCGATTCTAACGGCAAATTAATAGAAGAGTTAAAGGCAGAACTAGATAAAATGCGTGTGGAAAATGAGAATTTAAAGCGCAAACTAAATGACGTAAATAAACAACATATTTCTTTGAAAGACGAGAATGCTGCTCTGAAAATCGAAAATACTAAAATAGCAACAGAACTTGACTCCTTCAAATCGGATTTGAATAGGTGCAGGGTGGACAACGAACGACTAACAATCGAATTGGCCGCTTCAGAAGCTCGAGCATTAGAAATACAAAGAGAAAGGACGGATGATAAAGAGCGACAGGATTTACAAAATTTAATGGTAGAAAACAAAGAATTGAGAGATAAGTTAAGAATGGCGCAAAATGAGATCAATAAATTAAAAGAGAATATCAAGAAATCGAAAGGCGATTTTATAGAAGATGCTGACGATATCGACAGCTTTGAAAATGAATTGAAGAAATCGATGATCGAGATAGACAAGGCGAGAGAAGACTTAAAATACGCGGCGGAAGAGAATAATAAATTAAAAATGATCAACGACGGTCTGGAATTAGAACTAAGTCAATTGAAAGCGCTGCTGGACGAAATAAAAGATTATCCTGAACAAATCGATGAAGAAGTTAACGGGACGAAGGATCAAAGCCAAAGATTGTTGGCCGCGTTGAAAATCAAAAACATGGAGTTGAAATCCGGATTGGATCATTGTCAAGCGGAGAAAGAGCATTTAAACGATGAAATTAACAACTTGAGCGAAAAGATCAAATTTCTGCAATCTCTGTCTCCCATAGGTTTGTACCTCTTCGATATATAATTTCGATTAAAGTCTAGAAACACTTACGATTTTTTCACATTTTACAAAAAATATCTTGGTGAAACAAATTGTAAAGAAATCTTCGACTACACTTTAATTTCTAGCATTTTTATGTAATTTAAGAATGAAATCCTGTAGAGAAAAAATTCAAACATGGATTTAAAGCCCTATCTTTGCCCTTTAAAATGCGTGATCAAAGACTTCTTTATGATTTTTTTGATCGAAATATTTAACTTTTCGTAAAATGTGAAAAAATTTTGTTTCCAAACTTATAGCCGGGATTGCATTATTGGATAATAATAGCGTTGTATAAATTAATGGATATGATTTAGTCGTATAATGCGTTTCATTCATTCAGTGGTTTTTGGCGAAGTCTTTTTCTTATTGAATTTTGTCGGTCGCGTTCACATTAAAGGAAAAACATCTTTATAATTCCAGAGGCTGGCGTGATTAAACCGGATGAATGCGGCGACTTCGTTAAGGCGAATGAATTACTGAAGAAGCAAATTGAAAAGCAATATGACGGTAAAAACTTGCACAAAAACTTTTTCAACTGTTTTGTCATTCCGACAGTTTTTATCGCACCATAGAAACGTGGATTTCCTTATTCATAGCCCGTAATTAGCTCGGCTAATATCTTAATAAGTTAAGCATTTCCATAAACTTACGACACTCGAAGGCAACATTTTGCAAATTGTTATATTCTATTAATTACGCAACGCCAAAAGTCGCGCGTAGTTTGTACAGAAAACTAATATTTGGACAAATTTTGTGATACATAGAAAATGACAAGAACAAATTTTGATTATATAATCTCTACAAGGTAGTTCTGCATTTGTTCTCGCAATACAATAGCCGTGCAACGTGTGCGTGATTATATACAATTTATGGATGGAAAAATTCCTGTGAGACCCGAGATGGCAACAACATTGGACGATGATTTTGAAATTGAGCGCTGGATTGTGCCATCCATCGTGGAATTGCTAAAAGAATCGCAAAAGCTATCCGAGAACATCTGTCTGGCGGAAATCGAAGTTCAGAATATCGATAAACTGCTTAATGAATGCAAGAAAGAAAATGAAAATTACATAAAGCAATTATTGGTGAGGCGAATAATAGATAGCATTAATCAAGTACACATAAAACAGTATCCTGTTTAATGATTTATCCAGAGGATAATTTGAATTTTCTGACTTGCATATTAACGCTGGAAATGAATCGTTTCTAGGAGCTTGGTGTGGAAGTTACCAAGGTTGCAGGTGTGGATAATGGCGATAAGCTTGCAGCTTTTGACCCTGAATCTTGGTTGAAGGTATGTACGTGCGGTGGTAAGAGTCCATTTTGCTGGTCTGCATTTGCTTCTTTATATCTATCAAATCTCACTTTTCTCCATATTGACGCGTCGTACTTGTAATAAATTGAAATATTATTTCTATGTTTGCATATCTCAATATATCTATATATTACTTGTATTTTATAAGCAGATAAAAATATATCTAGATATATAGAACGATTTTACTGAAATATCTAAATAAATTTATCAAATAATAGATTTTAAAATAATTTTGTTCGATCAACAAAATAATTAGAAATCTCAATCATAATGAACTCTGCAAAAATTTTGACGTTTGGCAATTAGTTTGAGCGTCTATTATAATTATTTTGATAGTACAACAAATTCATTTTCAGATTTGTATCTCTCTAGCTAAATTTTTAGATACTTCAACAAAACTGTCTTTTCTCTGTAATGTAAAAATAGTTTTTAAAACGGAAATAACTGATTGTTAATACAAAATATTTACGTTTGTCGCTTTCAGTCTTTGACACTAATGCAATTGGCCGAGTTGCACGATAAAATCTGTCTGTTGACTTCGAATATGGTGCAAGATAGTCCAGCGGTTTGCGATTGTTCAATGATTAATCGAGACTACGGTAGTGATCGGTTGCGAGCAGATTACGATGCTTCAAATCGGCGGATCGCCGCCTTGCAGAAGAAAATAGTTGAAAAGCAGATTAAGGCGGGATGGAAACTGCAGGAATTAAGACGAACTCTTCGTATTGAGCAGGCAAACCTGATTCAAATCTCTGAGCGGATAACTCTCGAAAAAAGGCGCAACGTAACTTTTCAACTTACCACGAACGATTCAGTGTAATTTTCTTTCCGGTATCAGTAAACATGTTAAAAGTGACATTTACTTCACACAAGTTCTTGTTACTGGACGCGCAACACAAGACGAATATTCTTCATAATCTTTGTTTTGATTAGAATATAAAATAAAAATATATAACGATACAAGAAATCTGATATTCACATTCAATTTAATATATTTAAGATCATTTAATTATTTTGAATAATTTCTGTAATTATAAAACAACGGGGAGACCAAACAGGCATTCTCCAATTATTACAGCTCTTTCAAAATATCTTATCCGTTTCTATATTCCCCCTCCCCCGCCTCCCCCGCTATCCGAACGGTTGCAGCAATCTCCTAGGCACATAATTGCGATAACGTACCATATTCAGCAACATCACGGTTTTGTTGCTAATCACGATCAAACAATAACAACTAATGAGAGCCGCTTGTTTCGCGGCGCATGCTTGTGCACGCCGCCACGTGCGATAACGTGATTTCCTGTTTCATTTCGGAGGTCGCGTTGTTCGATCGAGATTAATTCAATTGTACCGTACCGCATCCGTTCCCACGACTTTACCCGGCTCGTCGATGCGACCGCCGACGCGCGGGTGTGCACTCGGGCTCAATAGGAAGGCGAATGCCGTCGACAAAGAGTAAACATATAATTGAAATGCGCGGGTAGATCAAACGGTAAATGAATTGTCGAAATCCGTTTAACTGTATGTCCACCACACGGAATTGAAATAAATTCGTAAAACGCTGATAGCGAACCGCGAAAGCATTAATGCGACACGACTTGCAAAAGATATATCTTTTTTCTTCTTTTCATATATATATATATATATGTTTTTATTTATGTATCCTCAGCTTGCAATCTCAGTCCACATATTACACATGATAAGAAGGTGAACTAATTGCAGCAGGATGCTAACATGTATGACAACTTTGTAAAGTGATATTTTTTGTTTCAATTCCCTCATCGAAGAAAACAGTTACGTAAAATTATATAAAGTCTGTAAGAAGTTTCATTGTGACCGCAAATACATCGAGTGTAACTTCACACTACGTATACATAAGATTCTGTTACGAAATAATATAATTTTCGTAAAACTTCTGCATTATATGATTGAATGTTTTCTTAAAAAGAAAGATTTGTCACAGATTGTTGAGAAATATAGTTTAATATTTTCTTAACTCTTTGATGCCATTCTATATAGATCGTTTTGTCATGTACTTGCTATCCTGGATATTCTAAAAAATATAAAACTAAATATACGACAATTTTTTTTTTTCAATCGAAACGCTGAATATAACGGCAACAAGCAAAGTGTACATCTGTTAATAAAAAAATCATAACGTACCAAAGTAAAAGAAATCTCGGGTATACTATACTAAGAGTAGCATCAAAAGGGAATTATAACTAGAATAAGAATATATTAAATCTTCAATTTTTTATGATGAGCACAGTGTGGATATACCTTATAGATGAAAACGATAAGTACGTTATTTATTAAAAATGCTTATATAAACTTCTGCAGTTGGTTTTATAAATAATTTATAAAACAATACGCCAAACAGAACAATAAGTCATGATAACATCAAAATGAATGATGGTATCAAAATAAATAAAAAATGATTGAAAAATGACTTTTAATAATCATTTTAAAGTCATTTCGACATCATTATGATATCATGATGATTTATTGTTCTACTTGGATATAATTTGAGTAAACAATTGTACTTATGAAATGTACTTATCAACGAATTTAACTACAAATATTTGGACTCTGAATTTGAGAGACTTCTTCTTAGAAAGTCCATTATTAAATACCAACAAATAGTAGTCTGTACTTGACTTTCGCATTGAGAAGGACTCAAATTTAAAATCGGAACGTTTACAGTTAACTTCGTAACTACATTCTAATTGTTTGTAAATTATATTTTATCGCCTTAAAAATATAATTTGCGCACCAACAACCGCGCACGCTTATATTTAAAACTCATATGTAAAGCATTTTACATATATTTGATTTATTCTTGGAGCTAAAACTATTTTCATTTTTTATTTTAAGTTATTTATCTATATAAGCTTATCCTAAAAAAATATTATCTTTGTTCAAAATGTATTCTCGTATAATTTTATTTTATTATTGTAATTTTGTACTATATATTTGTAAAAAATTTATGAAAGTTTAAGTAAAAAATGACTTCCTGCATTTACGCGCTTAGTTCGAGCTTGTACAGCTATCTTGTATCTACCAGCGTGTAGCTCATTGCATTTGCATATTTTCATTTCTACCTGAGATTGGGATTCTAGAATCGACGTTTAATTAAACATTTCGCTGTGCGACACAGCAACAAAAACATTCTCGATTAAGTCGATTCTCCGGAAATAATTAATCATACTTATTGTTCATCAATACAGATATTCGTCCATTTGTATCAATTCATTCTAGATACAAACAGTTTTTGGTCTAAATAAAACTAAAATATCGGATTAGAAAATAGACAAAAATAAAATAATAGAAATTAATTTTTCAAAAGAGTTTTTAACTTTTTCTCATTCTTAATTTATCTTTATTTAACAGCTACATAAGAAATATTTCTTCAGTTTTACAGCTATGTACTTTTTATATAATTTTGAAAAGTTGGTAATTACAATTTTGTAATTTCAATCTAGCATGGAGGTTTTGAATGTGATTTTTAAATGATATAATTGAACTAAATATGAGAACAAAATATATGCGTATATCCAACATGTAAAGTTACACTTACTAGTAATTGATAATAATTTATATCCCCTCTTCTATTCCTGCATTCTTTTTTCTATTTTCAGATTTTTGTAAATCATGTTCGTTCTGTATATTCGAAAAATTTCTATCTATAATATAATTGATATCATTCTATGACTAACAAACTAATATGTACCACAAGTAGTTACGTCGTGAATATCTGCTGAGTTATTTTCGGTGTTATGCAAGACACTTTATTTTCAGTACCTAGATTTAATTCAAGGTATAGGTATTTTGGAAAAAATATCGAAGTACAAGTACTATTAAAATAAAATATCTAGATACAGGTACATTTAATATATCCTAAGACTTTTGAGTACTTGGTCATCACAAATACATTGAACATCACGAATACATCTTGCAAGAAATAGAAGTAACTTATTACTCGTAACAAAGTTATAGTTACAGATTACTTTTTTGATTTTACTAGTAACTGCGTTACTTTTTTTTGGTAACGGTAACGTAGTTACATTTTTTGGTAATGATAATGATAATAATAACGGATAATTGATGGATTTGGTAATGAATGATGGATTTGGTAATGAATTTTGCAGTTACTTTTATCATTACTTTGCACCGATTGGGCACCCATCTACTGTGATTAGCGGTCGTTAATTTTGATAAAGTAACGGAAAAGTAACGAAAAGTTATTTTCTCAAGTAATGGTAACTGTAACGAATGAATTATTAGGGAGTTTTGCATTTATCCAAATATGATAATGCTAAGGTCAGGTTCTTCTTCTTAATTACTTAAGAAAAAGATAACGTGACTTTAGCATTCACCGTATCTGGATTTATGTTATTGCAAAAACTTCCTACTTTAAAAATTAATAATGGTAACTTGTTACTCTTTTTATTCGATAACGAATAACTATAAAAGTACTTAAAAAGTAACTTTCCTTACCCGTGTCAGTAACAAGAAATGACACATTAATTCTTATTACATGTCATTTGTAAATAAAAACAATTTGGATAAAACGAAATGATAAGGTCGCTTTAAACAATATAATATATTATAGTTTCGAAGATGCGAAAAAGCATCAAAAAATTGTTAAAATTGCTAGTCAATTTTAACTCGTGATATTACTGCGGTAGTTTAATAGAATTAGTGTTTCAAAATCGAAAAATCATTTCGGCGCGTGTTTCAAAAAGGACTACATACGTAGTATATAAATTTACACAGAATAATTTAGAAGCATTTAAGATCCAGCTATATAGACTGTTTAAGAGTTTGATTCGCCCGATTTCTATCGCCCGAGATAAAACAAAAACCGGATAAGAAGCAAAAAGACAAGATGTAAAAAATAAAAACAAAAGGCAAAAAACAGGAAACAAAAATAACACAAACTATAGGAATCAAACTCTTAAACAGTCTATATAGCTGGATCTTAAATGCTTCTAAATTATTCTGTGAGATAAAAGTTAACGAACTTCGAAAGAAACGAGAAATACGTAGCAAAAAATACAATTGTTAATAAAACGGTTGTAAAGGAAAAAAAAGCAAAAGGTAAAAAACAAGAAACAAAGAGCACATTGTAAAATAGACTTACAAATCAAGTGCTTTTTACAACTATTTACGTCGCGATTGTCGCGTCGGGGGAATAAGACTAGTGTTAGCTTATCTTTATAATTGCTTTAAAATTATCATATAATTTATATTTTTTTTTTATCTGGATTGTTCTTATTTACAAATGTAATAAAAATTAACGAGTTATTTCTTGCTTTTGATGTCACGATTTAAGGCTGTGATGATTATTCAGGAGCCTTAAATGTACAGATACTTTTTATTAACATAAAATTTTAGAATAAACAGATATTTATGATGTCATGTATTACGTAATATTTACGTATTACATGTATTTTATATGTATATTTATAAATATTCTATGTCAGTTTAACATGTTATACAATAAAAACAAAATAATACTTATACAACTATTAATTAGTTTTATTTAAATAATTCATTTAACATTTATGCATTATGTTTTAAAAACATCAAACATTCAACATTTTCATTGGACAAATTATTTTGTTACGGCGTTAAAATTTGGTGCCTTGTATTAAATGCACGTTCAACAGTTCAGTAAAAATGTGTCATATTTCATAGAAATTTTTGTTATACAATTGAATAATCTATTTAATGCAGAAAAATATCATTCAAAAAGTAACTAAAATGTACCTAAATATAAGTATCGATACATAAGTATCGTAATATTTTTATACGTATTGTTATATTTTATCGTCATATTTTTATCAGTCCGATTATATACGGAGACCCTGTGTAACTAAATAGATATATGTATCAATATAAGGTTTATATCTTATCGGAATAACACAATATAATATCTCACGAACACAAATGATTTTCTCATTAATTTGAATTGATTCTCTTTATCAGAGTGTAAACGATACATTCTCTTGTATTTATATTCTGATTTATAATTAAAAAGGAACTTTTATATGTATTAAGTATATATTTCACAAAGTATATATATATATACAAGTTCTATCTCCAAACTATTGCACTTATAAATTTTTCAATCGTCTAGGATTTCATTATAATTTGTATTCTAACAAAAACCATTAATTTTATCTTATCGGTTATAAAATTAATAAGTAGATGAATGAAACGATAATAGGATATTTAAAAATAGAATGATTCAACATATCTGTTATAAATTCCGTATGATTTTAATGGTACGCAGTTATAAAAATGTAGCAATACACATATAAATCTTTAACCCTTCTCTCTTAAGCGATGTAACAAGAAGTGGGGAGCCTCCTATTAAACTTAGTGCGGACATAATATCTAGCAGTGTCAGTTATATGTTTCTCGCAAATGTCGTTGAACTGCATGTTATCTGTATTCGAGCTGTTCAGTTCAAGTTTACAGTGAGTTGAACTGTACAATAATCATATAACAGGCATCACAATTACAATAGCGGCCAGCTAACAACAATAGCTACAGGCATGTTCGAAATTCTCTGTACCTGCGTGGTAATCTTATATTTACTTTATTATTATTTGACCGCTGATTTTGACTATTGGACATCATGCGGGATCAATGGACCGAAACCCATTCCGTTCTTCGGCAACATTGTCGAATTTTTAATGGGCAAGAAAAACCTGAACGATTTTTTCAAAGAAATTTATGACCGATATCCGAAAGAATCCATGGTGGGAGTATTTTTGAGAGGAAACCCTGCGCTCGTCATAAAAGATCCAGAATATATCAAACAGGTGTTGATCAAGGATTTCACCATCTTTGCCGAACGACATTCACATGTTTATGAAAAGGTATTCTTGAAAATATTAATAATGTGTAAATATATGCAAAGCAATAAGTAAAAACAAAATCAAAGACAAATAAACTTAAGATGTTGATTAATTAAAAAATGTAATAATCTTTACTAATGAAGATGGTAACAATTCTGTACGGTTCAATTGTACAAAGTCTTCATAATTAAAAAAAATAATTTTAATTACTTAAAATAATTATTTTTAATTTGTTTTCTCATTTTTTGTTTCGAAACGTACATATCAATTACAATAACTAAAAAAATTAAGAGTTGGAAAAGAGTATCTCTCTTTTTCTCTCTCCAATTTAAAGTTGAGCTGACGTATAAGTTTCGAGGCAAGCGTTGATCATTCGGAAACTTTGAAAGGAAACTTTCTAACATAATTCCCACTTTCTGATACACTGATGCATAATTTATAGGCCGTTAGATGGCGATCATTAAGAACGAGGCTTTCGCCCATCTTCACGACCGGGAAGTTGAAGGACATGTTTCACTTGTTGCTGAACTGTTCCGACCACTTCGAGAAGTATCTAGATGAGATAGTATCTAAAGACAGTATTGTCGAGTGCCGACATCTGACATCTAAATTCACTATTGACGTGATCGGATCGTGCGTTTTCGGTCTCGAGATGAACGCATTGAAAGAAGAGAATAATCAGTTTCAGCGTATGGGCCGTAAGATATTTCGCTCTACTCCAAAAGTCATGATTAGAAATACACTTAAAGAAATACCGTGGTTCTACAAGAATTTCGGATATTTCTTTGACGATCATGACGTGACCAAATTCATGACAGATATTACCCGAGAAACTATAGAATACAGGAAGCGGAACAATGTGCATCGAAACGATTTCATCAATGTACTTATCGACCTCAAAGATAATCCTGGCAAATTGGGCGTTAATAGTAGGAACATTGCTTTTTTGCGTCTTAATTTATAAATTTTCGAATGCGTTAGACGTATTTTTGTCATAAAACAATTAATATGATAATTTAAGAGTGATTAACATGATATTACACTGAGAGAACGACTTTGTTGAAATAAATAAAAATTTAGGTAGATACAAATTTGAAAATATTTTTGTTAAAATATCAAATTATTTATGGAGGAAACTTAATAATTAATGAGTAATATTGCAAAAAGTATTGACATTCTAACAACTAATTTGAACGTTCTGCTAGTTATTTTGACACTTCAAAAAATTATTGGGTTATCTAAAAAGTATCCGTGGTTGTTTGTCACTAGATGTGTTGACTAAACACCATCTAGTGAAAAAACCGCGGATACTTTTTAGATGACCCAATATTTTCAGATCTGCATCTAAATGCTAAATTTTTAAATATTTCAACAAAATTGTCACTTCTCGTATATTCAACACTATTATTTTTTAATTTTTTTTTATATGATAACGATTGTAATAGCCTATAATTTCTTTCTTCTTCATATAAAATCTAAATATAAAATTATTATTATTCTTATTTTTAAGATGTAACGGATGAATTCATTGCTGCCCAATTGTTCGTATTTTTCGCGGCTGGTTTCGAGACATCTTCTATTACGATGTCTCTTGCAATGTATGAACTAGCGCAGAATCAATCAATTCAAGAAAAAGTTCGAAAGGAGATTAAAGAAGTCCTTGACAGTACTGACGGAGTAATATTATATGATAACATCAAGAAAATGAACTATTTGGAAAAGATTTATCAAGGTTTGTTTATCTTTTAAAAAGTATTTCTTATAAATAATTTAACAAATCAAATTCATTCACAAAGGTTGTTGTGATTTTTTTCGATTTTCTGAAAATCAGAGGCGACTATTTCCGTGAGATATGCGGAAGGTTTGATAAATCAACTGTTCGATTTATCGAAAAAATATCTTTCTGATAAATCAAGTGTTTGTATTACTTTGCAGAGGTTCTTAGGAAATATCCACCAGTAACGTTTCTAATGAGGCAACCTACAAAGAATTATACTTTCGAGGGGACTAAGATCACTCTACGAAAAGGGCAAGTTGTGATTATACCCAATTATGCTATTCAACATGATCCGAATATTTATCCAGATCCGGAAGTTTTTGATCCTGAACGATTTAGCGAGGAAAATGTAAAACAGAGGAATCCTATGTATTATTTACCTTTCGGAGATGGTCCAAGAAATTGTATTGGTAATTTAAAAAATTTATGGAAAAATTTTTGTGTTACAACAATATCACAATGTTTGCGAAATTTATTTCTTTTCATATTTAACATTCTACATACACTCATGCATACACATACATAGACAGGGCATATAGACATATTTACTGGAGAAATATCGAAATGTGATATCGAAATATCGATTGTTTTTTTTAGGTAAAAGATTTGCCACTAATCAGACCAAGGTTGGTTTAATTAAAGTGCTGATGAATCATAAAATAGATGTTTGTGAAATGACTCAGATTCCACTTATCCATAGTCCATGGACCAATTTCTTGTTCCAAATAACTCATGGCGTATATGTAAAATTGACCAAACTCGACTAATATATAATTTGTAAGTATTGTATGCTACATGTATACCTGTACATTTATAAGTTAATCAAACAATACAAAATGACATTATGTATTCCATTGTAACGTTTATGTAATATTCATAGTACACATTTACACTACATATTAATGTAGGTTAACTTTACTCTCAGTACAATTTACTTTCATCTTTTTCTAATTTTTAAAACTAAGAAAAAATGAAAAATATGTTGAACCGAGATTAAAGTTAATTTATATTGATAGAAACAGACATAAGTCAATGAGATAACATTTATTGATAAAAGAAAAATTAATCGTGTAAAATTTTTTGCAATGTTTGAATAATTATATCTATAAGCATTACACACACATCAATGATCGCAACACATCCAGATGATTCAAAAGATTCAACTCCCTTTTTACTATGAGTATTTATTCATTAATACGGATATTTTATTGTGTAATATTATTCTCAGTTCCGTATTAATTTTATACATTAATTATAATTGCAAAAGTACAATAGCCGATGTATTAATTTGATATATATGTATTACGCAATAATGTTAAGAATCATTACATTCTAATAAATATTGATGTGGATTTAATATTAACACTAACGTGATGAGAATTTATTATTATATAGACATCGCATGGCGTTAATATTAATTGATTAATCTTCATTGAACTCATATTTGTTTCTTACAATCACTAAATATGAAACGAAATTGTATTAAATAAATAATGACCAACTCAGAGAATAACGCTACATAATATTAATAATAATGCTAAGAAGAATCATATTATTATTGACAGTTCGATAATAATCCAGTTTTGGTTAATATGTTGACATTTCAATATTCCTCATGTTATGCATCATAAATATCATGTTCGCAGTAATACTTATTTTGAAATAATACATATAATGCTACGAACAGGTTGCGCTTCATTATGCACTGCGAATACTGAAAATCTATAGTTCACGTTACTATAACTATAGATTTTTAGTACTCGCAGTGATTAATGGAATTATAGATAATGCACACTTGAAATATGCAAATTATTGTATAATGTATACGTATAAAACGGTAAATAACGGATGTAAAAAAATTATAATATTAATCCTCCAGCACTACTTTGTGCCTTTTAAGGTACAGTCGATATTACGTTTTCTCAAAATTCAGATTTCAATATGTAAAAAACAAATAAAACATAATCTAGTTTTTATTATAGTAAAAATTTATTATTAGGTTTAACAAGCGTGCAAGAATCTTTTTAGATTTTCATGTAAATCGGAGGTATAAAAAATATATGCTGTTTCCCAGAGTGTAAATTATGATTGAAAATTTCGAAGTGGTGCAGGAGAGTTAACCCTTTATTGCCTGGTGTAACTTTGAAGTTATATATTAATATCGATATTTTGTTAATTTTATGTTACATAGTCGAATGAAAAGAAAATAATTGATTATGATTGATCAATTCTTACAGATTAATAAATGATCCTTTAATGCTTTTGTAAAAAAAAAGTATTGAAACTACTGAATCCATTATCAATCTGTATTTAGAGATTAATATTTGTTAATTTTATGTTACATAAATTTTTTTATGGCCACGAAAAAAATTTGGACCATAGAGGATAATAAAAATGTATGTATAATCAATATTATAAAATAGATTTTGATTCTTAAATTTAACCTACGAATTTGAATTTGAAAAGTTAATTATGCATGAAATATTCCCTCCTTAATTAATCGTAGCTGTTTGTATAATATTTATATTGTTATTACTACTTATTTTTTAACTGTATGGTTAATTAATTTTACAAAAAAAGGAACGGTCTTAAATAATTATAAAGTGAATTGCGACAGTAAAATGTAAACACTGAGTACTGAAAACATTAGGTACACAGTTTCTGCTATTATATTGCAGAAACTAAACCCGGATTACAATTTTTGAAATGAGGATTGCGCACTCGCAAACAAACGGAAAAGTAAAGCAAGTTTCTGGAACGTAGTTTTCTAATATAAAAGCACATCAATTGTTGCTTATTACAAAAATATTTGTATATATGTAAATACATTTGTATTTATGTGTGTGCGTGTGTGTATACGCACAGATTATTATATATGATTATACATATTCAATGCTTATCTTAATACATTTTTATACTGTTTATAAAAAATTTTAAAAATTATTTATTTACAACACACAATAATTATTATTAATAATAAAAGTATATTTAGAATCAAGTTTTTAATAATAAAAATAATAAAAATTTATTTATTTCGATATTGTACTGTTATATCAGTCTTGAGATAAATTATAAACAAATAAACAAATAGTTTTAAATATTTTTATTTATAACTATTTGCTTATTTGTTTACAATTATTTGTAATTTTATACACACAAATTTTTATTATTTTAATTCATTAAAAATTTGACTCTGTAAATATACTTTTATTATTAATAATAATTGTTGTTAATTGTGCGTTCTAAATAAATTTTTTAATTTTTTATTTTTAAAAGACAAGTGACAAACAGAGAGATAGGTAAGTAAATTTTCAGTTTCTCTTTGACATAAGTTGTCGTAAAATCATTTGTAATTAAGGAATTTCGTTTATAAAATGTCATATTTGATTCATCTTATACAGATACAATAAGAAATGTGATTTATTAAACACCTGACAAAAATAATGACGAATATTTGGTAAAAATGGTATCTGAATAAATTCATTTAACACCGTTATTATAAAGCAGTGATAAACATAATAAAAGAAGATAAAAATATATATTTTCTTATAAGTCTGTAACAAAATAATATTTTCCTGAATATTTCGCGAAAATTGCACCAAAATAACTAGAACATATTTTTGCATTGTATCGTGTACTATTTTACATACGATAATAATAATGATTGATACTGTTTCATTAAAAAAATTTTGCGAGAGCAAATGAATAACTGAATATAAAATCTTAACAATGATGATCTGACAATGAGAGCGCAATTGTGTGGCGATTATTATATCACTTTTTGGATAAAAATTCATAATTAAGTTTTGCTGCTAAAAGGGAACTAACGATGCGCGATAATATGTAATATCTTACTCGAGCGCTTTACGTTCGTTCCGCAATGTACTATTATATCACCGCAAAGTACAACTATCGGAAAGTTTGCGGTTGGTGTGAAGAGACCAACTTCGCTGCCGATTATTTTGACAACTTCGGGAAAATTACATTCGCGCGCGAAGATAACAACAGATAATTACTTTATATATATATATATATATATATATATATATATATATATATGAAGGAGAACTACTGATAGGGTTTATTCTTTTTTTCAGTTTTATTATAATAGCAAAAAAGAACTGGCGTTCGTAAAAATATCCTTATATTAAAGATTTCTCTTGTTATCGCTAATTTTCAGTAATTATCAACTAGCTAATCAATCTCGCTTTCATGTATTTACTAAAATATATCCTGAAATTTATTAAAATCAAATTGATCTGTATAATACTGTAATACATGATATGTCAATATAATAGACTTAAGACTTAGAATATTACATGACTTTATTATAATTTTATATAACGCTTACATTTCTTCTTTTATTAATCTTCATTGTTGTTCAGTGAGATCAGAAATAGCTTTAAATGTCTTTAATCGTGTGCATACTACCGCACGTTATTTTCATGAGATAAATAACAATACTTCACTGCAGTATTGAGATAATATTCAGATATTTTGGACTATTCTCATTTTGGCAAGTGTAATATCTCGAGCGAATCATCGTTCTACAATAGCGTTCCAGAAACTTGTTGCGAAAGCAATAAACTTTCGTCTTGAGTATACCGTATTGCGCACCTGCGCTTTTAATGAATACATTATAATTATGGTAAATGCGATCGCTGTCTTGGTTACTTGATATATATTGCGTATATAAACAAGTTAAGCGTTATTGCATAATTGTAAGCTCGTGCTATTTATATTTTTGAAAAATTTTATCAACACAGGGCAATTTCGAAATTGAACCATTTTAGGATTGTTCCGATACAAATTTTGTAAAATTTTTAAATAAAGATAAAAGAGGCAGCCGACAAAGAGTTAACATTTCACGTTTTTCCAGTTATGTCCTCGAATTTTAAATGTCCATGCCAATGCAATGCATATGTTTCATGTGTGTATACATGTGTGATTTTTTTCGGTTAGCCGACACACACGTAAATCACTTTCACTGCCTCCGGGGTGTACGAATTAAATCCGGCTTGTTCTGTAATTCAATTTTTAGTTTTTAATACTCGCGCTTTTATGCATTGGCAGTTGTCATTTTTCTTGAATATTTTTTATTTTACTGCAATACAAAGCGCATGTAAAAAAATTGCTTGCAGTATATTGGAATGCGTAAACACGAGGAATTAATAGGAACTGATAGGAAAGTAATAATAACAATAATAATAAAAGAAGGTTCGCGCGAGAACATTCTGATTTTTAAAATTTTATTTTTACATAAAAACACATAATGTTTTTTTCATATTAATTAATTGATGTACTATCTTAATATTTCGCAATTATTTGAACGGACACATTCATCATTCGTTATCAGTGCTCAATGATATGAATAATATTTATACATATAAATATATTCTATGTAATTACATTTTACACATATCTTTAAATTTTTCGCTTTTATTTAATGTTTATAACAATTTAATTTTGTATTAGTAAAAAATGAACGTAAATACTGCAACGGCAATTGAATTATTGCTGAAGTTTGAAATCTATCATAGATATTATATAACATCGTAACTTAAAATAAACTTCATTATGAAATTATTTTACAGATTTTCAGTAGACATTTAATTTTCAATATAATTTGTTCCTGTTAAATTTTGTTTTCTGTTTTTTCTCTAAAATTCGCATACCACGCAAGTAGTTTTAGTCGATCGACAGAGAGACGCGAAGTTATATTCGCAAACGTAGTTGGTCAGACACACAGAAAGCAACACACTGTGTCATTTCAATGGTAGTGCGATTGTCATTTTGAGTAAAACGCCGAATGTTTCAAAATGCTTTGCATCGCACATAATATCCATCTCATGTGTGTTTGACATAATCCTCCTTTTAACACTAAATGACATAGAATCGATCATATTATAATGTTTTCATTTTCAGA